GTGGTAACCATTGAATAGGAGTTTGCTAAGAAAAGAAGAGAAGATAACTAAGAGGAATTATGTCCACCTAGACTGCTGCAGTCACAACTTCTGCTCACACCTCTGATCGTCATTAATCCTTAGCGTGATCTTCTGTTAAACAGATTTCCACCTTTGGCTGGCAGGAGTCCTCAAAGAGAAGTGATAAGTTTTAAGTCCTGAACAAGTTGTTTGGTTCCAGGTAGAGACTCGGACCCTGGAAGTTCTCTGTGCTCTCACCCTCAGAGCTGAAAAGCCCTCCAGATACCCATGTGCCCTAAAGACTTCTGCTCACTTCCCAAAACCCAGATCAGATGCTGGACCCTGTCCTCCAACTAGAGAACACAGGTCATTGTCACTCCTGCCTCGGTTCCCAGAACTTCCCCTTTAGACCCAGGGGTCCAGGATCCAGCCCTATTCCTTCAGACCTAGGGTTACAAGCTCCAGCCTCCTCCCTCAGACTCAGAGGTCCAGGGCCCAGCCTCCGCCCTCAGATCTAGGGGCCAGGGCCCAGCCTCCTCCCTCAGACTCAGAGGTCCAGGGCCCAGCCTCCTCCCTCAGACTCAGAGGTCCAGGGCCCAGCCTCCTCCCTCAGACTCAGAGAGGTCCAAGGCCCAGCCTCCTCCCTCAGATTCAGAGGTCCAGGGCCCAGCCTCCTCCCTCAGATCTAGGGGCCAGTGCCACTGCCTCGGACACTGGGTGGAAATGAATTTGCTTGGACAGGTGTGTTCCTCAGGGCATTTACTTGGAGAGGTTGGAGAAGCTGGCAGGAAGGAGATAGTGGGCTAACAGATCCCCTGTTTGGGGTTCTGAACACTCATATAAGTGGCTTCTTCCTACTGAGGTTTTGGCTGACTATGTGCAGTCCCTGGACCTGTGGGGAGTAGGACTTAGAAGTAGGGAGCCTTGATCTGATGCTGTTACATTTATTAGATCTTAGAGGCCAGAGCGATGGTAGAACAGGTAGAGGCCAGGTTGGTGGGCTGGGGAGCCATGGCTTCTCACTGCTGCGAGGCCGGGTTGGTGGGCTGGGGAGCCATGGCTTCTCACTGCTGCGAGGCCGGGTTGGTGGGCTGGGGAGCCATGGCTTCTCACTGCTGCGAGGCCGGGTTGGTGGGCTGGGGAGCCATGGCTTCTTACTGCTGCGAGGCCGGGTTGGTGGGCTGGGGAGCCATGGCTTCTCACTGCTGCGAGGCCAGGTTGGTGGGCTGGGGAGCCATGCCTTCTCACTGCTGAGCCTAGAGCAGAGACAGAAGCGTGATGGAGACACGTGGCAACTTGGTACAGAAAAGCTACAAGGGCAAATGCAGAGACACGAGACACAGACCCTCCTGCACTCTGTCTTCCCCTCACCTTGTTGAAGAAGTAGATGGAGGCTAGGATGGTGAACACGGCCATGGCCAAGGTCACATTCTGGGAGAGGAGGAGGAGGCCAGAAGTTAGCTCCCTCCCCTCCCTGTCCCCACCCCTGCCCGTCCCTTCACCCGTCCTCACTTCCTGCAAGTTCATAGCCATGGGTCCTAACTACACAGCGACTTGACCTCCCTCCCCCAGGCCTCTGAGTCAGACAGGAAAGAGGCCTCAAGAATGGGAGGGGGTTGTCGGGGAGACCAGAATGGTGACCATGGTGACCAGGGAAGGGCATTTTGGATAGAAGAGACATTCACACTGGAGCCTGGGGAGAAGGGAATGTGGGCATGGACTGTCACGTGTGGTACCCAAATCCAGCATCAAAACCTAAGAGATTGGAGAGTTCAGAACTGGATCTCCACACTGAGTTCTGTTTTCTTCCCTGGAGTGTGCTGGGGATGGGAGAACTGTGAGCAGGGGAGGAACAGAGTGACTCTGGTATCTTGAGGCAGGAGAATGCCTGAGGTGTGGAGAACAGGCCCGATGGTCTAGGAAACATGGGGTCCTCATGTCAGGGGTTAGACCAGAATTTGGTCTCCAGTTTGTAAGGGTGGCGGAGCATCATGGTGATGGTAGCGGCAAATCCTGATGTCTGGACCACAGACAGCCAGGCACTTTGAGTCCGACCACGCAGCGCTCTGTGCCTTTAGAATGGCTCCCCAGGATACTGGAGAAACAAAGGAGTGGGCACATGTTGAACTGCCGTCACCTTCACAAATATTGCCAGCTGTGCACAGAGGGGCCCAGGCCTTTGCAGTGAAGCCTGCACCTGGACACTGAGAACAGGGTGGGAAACCTCCTGTGTAGGCTTGAATCCCAGCTCTGTAGTGGGATGACCTCGGGTGAGTCATTTAAAGATGTCTGACCCTAGCTGAGTGGTGGTGGCGCATGCTTTAATCCCACCACTTGGGAGGCAGAGGCAGGCAGATCTTTGTGAGTTCAAGGCAGCCTGGTCTACAAAGTGAGTTCCAGGACAGCCAGAACTGTTACACAGAAAAACCATGTCTGAAAAAATCAAACCAAAAATAAAAAAATAAAAAAAAGATGTCTGAGCCATTTTTTGTTTGCATTATAAAGAAAACATATCCTCCATAAGGGGCAAGGGAGGTGCCCAGTGGGTAAAGCACTTATCACATAACCACGAAGGCCTGGGTTCAATTCCCTAGCACTCCTATAAAAAGCCAGGTGTGGCACATGTGCCTGTTACCTTAGCACTGCAGAGGTGGAGACAGGAGATCCCTGGTGCTTGCTAGCCAAATCAGTGAGCTCCAGGCTCAGTGACAGCCATCAGAATAGGTGAAAGGCAACTAAGGAAGACGTTTGGCATTGACCTCTGGCCTCTACACACAGAAGAAACTTCTGTTTGTGGTGCAGGTGCTTCTCTAGTCCAGGGTGGGAAGAAGGCTCGAGAGGCTCACGAAGCTTGAGGTATCTTTGCAGATTCACAAGTCACATAAGCAGTAGCTGGGAGCTGGAGGGAGGACAGTCCTAAGAGCAGCCGCCTGCGAGGTGCCTGCACAGAGGACCCCAGTGACACAGCCTCCCTGCATCATCCCTCTGTGGGACTTTCTGGTACTGCAGCTGCTTCTGAGTCTTCCCACTGGTTCACCAGGCTGGACTTGGAATAATTTCTTGGGTCCACTGTTGCTCTTTTTGTCTGGATTGGAGTTCAAAGTCACCTTCACCTACAAGGTGCATAGAGAGCCCGAGGGTGCCTGAGATACTTGAGACCCTGTTACAAAGCAACTACGCCACTACATAAAACAATTAAGGGCTGTTGAGATAGCTCAGTGGGTAGCCTGTTGACAAGTCTGAGGGCCTGAGTTCCACTCCCAGAACTCACAGGGCAGAAGGACAGAATTGACGAGTTCTCTCCTGATCTTTGTGTATGTGCTATGCCATACGGGTCCCCCACCCCACACGTGTAATACATTTCAATGAAGAAAAAGAATAAACACACATATGTACTCAAAAAGAGGGAGAAGCAGGGGACACCAGATTATGGAATCCAGTGGTCCTCTTTCCTAGCTGGTGGTGGATGCGTGGCCTGAGGATGCTGCGATTTCCAGTCTCACAAACTGTGGATCTGGGTCCTCCAGGGCAGCTGGGCATCATGGGTTCTCTGCGCTGACTGTTATCTGAGCACTTGGGAAGCTGGAGTGTTGCGAGTTCTAGCCAGTCCAGGCTGCAGAGTAAGTTCAAGGCTAACCTGGGCAAAGCAGCACAATTCTATCTACAACATTTAAACAAGGGGTCAGGTGTTGTGGATAGAGATGTAGTCCCACGGTCCAGCACTGGCTCAGCCTGTGTCAAGTGATAGCAGTATTAAACAAGAGGACCTGGCTTCAGTTTCCAGAACTGACAGGGTGCCTTGGGACCATCTGTAATTTCAGTTCCAGAGGATCCAGTGCCCTCTCTGGCCCCTGTGGGCATGCATGCATATACATATAGGCATATAAAATAAAAATAAGTAAAATCATGGCCTGATGTAGTGATTGATACACACCTTTAATCTCAGCACTTGAGAGGCAGAGATTTGTGAGTTTGGTCTACATACTGAACATAGGACAGCCAGAACTACATAGTGAGACCCTGACTCAAATCACCACTTCAAAAAAAAAAAACTCAAAAATTAAACAGCTTGACTCTCTCTATGCTAAGCCTTCTCAATTCTTGACCCATAAAACCCATGAGCAATAACAACTCATTGCCTTAAGATACTGAGCTTGGGGCCAGGGAGGTGGCTCACTGGCCTCACAAGCACAAGGTTCTGAGTTCTACTCCCCAGTACACGTGTTAAAGATCTTGGCACAGTGGCTTGTGACTGTAATCCCAGAGTTTGTGAGGTTGAGACAGGAGGATTCCTGGAGCTCAGTCTAGCGTGAATCAGCGGGCTCCAGGGTAAGTGAGAGACACCTGACATCTGGCCTCCACACGCATGCACACACATAAACACAAATTGCTGAATTTTGGGGTCATTTGCTGTGTGGTTGCAAACACAACTTCTCAACAGTTTCTTTCTCAAACAGGTTCTCTGAAGTGCTTTGAACTCATCCGATCTGCGCTGGGCGATGAAGGCACACAGAACAAAGTAACTTGGTGATGGTGAGATTTGAACCTGGTCTGTCTGCTTCTGGCTTGGGTATTGTGCTACAGGGCCCTGTTGGTTTTAATCATTTTTATGTGGTGTGGGAAGAAATTGGAATCTTCAAGAAGTCCAAGGAGGCCTCAGAGACTCCTAACATTTTAGAAAAGGAATGGGGAGACCTGGGGAAGCAGGGGTGGGGGTGGGGTTCCCTGTAACTACCTCTCAGCCTTGCCACTTCCTAGATGGTTCCTCAGGCTGTGCCTCAACTTCCCCATCAGCACAGCAGGGATGCTGGCGGTCATATGGACACCTCCTGGGGGGTCTGTGAAGACGAACCAGGTTAATCCCAGGATCCCTAGCCTGGAGCAGAGCTGGGGAGCATGCTGGGGCCTGCACTGCTGGCAGGGGGCTGAGTCTGAGGCTAATGAGCAGGTGAGGCCACAGCACAGACGGAGGCTGAGCTCAGCGTCTGCTCTCTGTGGAAATGGCCGAGCCTGGGTCTCAGTGCCACACCGCTGGACCCTTACTGCTGCTGCTGCTGCTGCTGCTACCACCCCAGACCCTGCTGGAGGGGCCTCTGCTGTTTGTGGCTCTGGTGCGCAGCCTCTCACCCACCTGACTCACTCTCTACCTCCCAGACCAACCCTGACCTGGTTCTCCAACATCCCCAGGTGTTCCGTCATGGCGACCGGGCCCCACTGGCCTCCTACCCCACAGACCCACACAAGGAAGCTGCCTCCACCTTGTGGCCTCGAGGCCTGGGCCAGCTGACCAAGGTGAGGAGGAAAAGAGGGTGAGGAAGAGGGCTGGGAGACAGGTGATGACGGTCCGCTGAGACCGGCCTCTGTTCCCAGGAGGGGATCCGCCAGCAGCTGGAGCTTGGCCGATTCCTGAGGAGGCGGTACAAGGCCTTCCTGAGCCCAGAGTTCCGGCGTGAAGAGGTACTTTGCTGACCTTTAGTCCCAAAGCCTTTGGTCTTCACCTCTTTTCTTTAGTTTCTATCAGCCTGTCTTGCACTCCCACGGGCTTTTGAGTCAGTAAGGAATCTACACTGACCTCTGACCTCAAACTATGACACAGTGTGACCACTGACCCAACCTCAGCCTTTGTCTTGATTCCCAACGATTCCATCCTGACCTTCTGACCTTTGAACCTGATTCAGTCTGTGATCCTTGTTTTGCCTTCCTGATGTTTCTTAGGAGGTGGGGTTTCTTGGGAGGGTTCTAGGCCTACATATACTTGTTAAGTTTTTTTTTGTTTTTTGTTTTTCTGGCCCAAAAAGCCTCTCTGCCAATGCATAATCCAAATTAGACCAAATCAAACCAAATTAAAAGAAGCCCAGATTTAATGGATGCCAGTACTCCGGGGTGGCCCTCTGGGAAAACATGGAGAAGGGGAACGGAGAACCTGGGAGACCATGTGTTTGTTCTGGGGGGGGGGGAGCAGTTTAAATAGCCTATGGGAGTGGTCTTGGCCCTCCTTGGGGACGGGTCACCGTTTGGCAGGTTTTCTTGGAGGCGGAGCCTGGAATGAGGCAACTCCCAGGGAAATGGGCTTGAAATGGAACTTTCCACCCAACATTCCAGACTTTTTTTTTGGATAAGGATGTTAGGGCTGAGGTGATGATGCTTCAACCAAACAATACCCGGCAAGTCCTCCATCACTGAGCAACACCCCCAGTTCCACCTCCAGCCTTTGACCTCTGCCCTCTGGCCTGACTCTGACTCCTCTGAGGGCTGTTATTCAGTTCCCACCTTCAACATCTTGACCTTTCACTTCCAAGCCCCTTGACCTGATCTTAACTCTCCACACCTCGGGAGACCCACAGTCTAACACACCACCCATCTCTGACCCGTGACCCTCAATGCCTGACTGAATTTGAAGCTTTTGATTTGGAACACTGCTGACCTCAGCCTGTACCTTTCTACCGCCCCAATCCACCCCAGGTGTACATCCGCAGCACAGACTTTGACCGCACACTGGAGAGTGCACAGGCCAACCTGGCTGGGCTGTTCCCTGAGGCTGCCCCTGGAAGTCCCGAGGCTGACTGGAAGCCCATTCCAGTGCACACAGTGCCCGTGTCTGAGGACAAGGTCAGGGGGGCTGGATCTGATGGGAGAAACAGAAGGATCTTGAGTTCAAGGTCATTCTGGGAACCTTAGAGACACTTTGTGAAAGTGAAAAGTTTAACAAGAGGACTTGGGATGTGGGTCAGTGGCAGAACCCTCCTCTTCGAACCCCACAATGAGGAGGGACTGGGGGTGTGGCTCAGTGGTAAAGCACCCATCTAGAACCTCCCAGTGAGGAGCTGGGGCTATGGTTTAGAGGTAGAGGGATTGCCTGGCTTGTCCAAGGTCCTGGGTTCCATAACCAGCACCACACATATACAAAAAGGGATGAAAGCAAAACATAACACTGAGCTGGAAAGGGCCAGAGGCAGCTTCCAGCCAGCTGGACCCACTTCTGGGCTTCCAAGCACAGAACAGCTATTAGCAAGACTGTCCCTGGTGGGTCCAGAGGGGTAAGCTGCCACCCCTGGCCAGCTTAGCTGGATACAGGGGAAGCTGGGAGAGAGGCATGACCAACTGTGAGACCCCAGACTCCCGCTGTCTTCTCTGAGCCTCAGTCTCCCCCAGTTGCTGAGGTTTCCCATGCGCAGCTGTCCTCGATACCATGAGCTGCTGCGGGAGTCCACAGAGGCAGCTGACTACCAGGAGGCCCTGGAGGGCTGGACGGTGAGTGCTGTGGTGGGCTTGGGTGTCAAGCAAGGATTGGTCAGGGTTCACCCAACTCCGCATCTCCATCCAGGACTTCCTGACCCGCCTGGGCAACTTCACGGGGTTGTCACTGGTTGGAGAACCACTCCGCAGGGCATGGAAAGTTTTGGACACACTCATCTGTCAGGTGAGTCCTCTTCCTCTCCCAGCGGGGACTTCAGGTCTGCACTTGACTGGCTGCTCGTTATGACAAGTGACTTAGCCCTGTGTACCCTGGCTTCCCCTTCTGCATAGTGACAGGCTGGGAGGATGGTGGCATAGTCTAATACACCCCTTTCCTGGTACCATTTCATTGGATCCATCTAGAATCCCAAATGTCAGATTCCAAGGCATCTCTTGGTAAGGACTCTGGTCTGGTACCTGCTCTGGCCCACACTGTGGTGTGGTGAGCTGACCTTTGAGGGGTTTTAATGAGGGTCAGGGTCTGCAGGACTGCCCGCACCTACACGAGAAACCTGGATGTAGCAGCTCACAGCTAAATCCTGGTACTGAGGCCTTGACAGGAGAATCCCTGGGGCTCAGTGGCTAGCCAGCCTTGCCCACTAGTAGAGTTCCAGGCCAGTGAGACCCTCAAGTTAGGTTGAGCAGTCCTGAGAAACATCTGCAGGTAACCTCTAACCTATACACACACATGCACATGTGGGCACACACATGCATGGCACAAAGCACATGCAAAACAAATGGGTGTGTGCGTGACTGGGGACTTCCTCTCCAGGCCCTCTCTCCTCTCTCCTCAGCGTGCCCATGGCCTCACCCTTCCATCCTGGGCCTCCCCAGACGTCCTGAGGACTCTGTCACAGATTTCAGCTCTGGATATCAGGGCACATGTGGGCCCACCCAGGGCAGCCGAAAAGGCCCAGCTGACAGGGGGTGAGATGTGGGGCCCATGGGGCTGGGGGACCTGGTCTTCAGGTGGGGAGGGGGCATATAAGCACTCTGCTCCTGTCCATCAGGGATTCTGCTGGATGCCATCCTCAGCAATTTCTCCCGGGCCCAGCGCCTGGGGCTGCCCCTCAAGATGGTCATGTACTCAGCTGTGAGTCCTTGGGAAGGACAGGCATTGCGGCTACATGGGTGGCAGGGGTGGTGGTGGTAAGACCATGTAGTCTTAGGGGACTGCATCACTAGAAACAGTAAAGATGGAGGAGGGGTCAGAGGAACAAGACTGTTGACTAGAACTGCCCAGGCACAATCTGCATGTCTGGACAGTCATTACAGAATGCCCATGGTGTGTAGATAGGAGTGCTCTGGAATCATTTCTAGGGTCCTAATTCACTCCCTCAATGGAATTATCTGCAGCACGACAGCACCTTGCTGGCCCTCCAGGGGGCCTTAGGCCTCTACGATGGGAACACCCCGCCTTATGCCGCCTGCATGGCCTTTGAGTTCCGGGGGAGCTCCAGAGACCCTGAGGAGGATGGAGAGTGAGAATGGGTGATGGCTTGGCATTGGGTGGGATGGACTCTCAGGGGGGAATAGGTGATGCTACTGACCTCTCCACCTCCAGGAATGTCACCATCTCTCTCATCTACCGAAATGACACTTCCCGCCCGCCCCTGCCGCTCAGGGTCCCTGGGTGCCCAGCCCCCTGTCCACTTGGACGCTTCCAGCAACTGACTGCTCCAGCCAGGCCTCCAGCTCACGGGGCCCCCTGCCATGGTTCCTATGAGCCTACCAGCCCCCCAGGTGACAGCCCTCTGCACAGGGGTGGGAGTGGGGAATTCCCAAGGCCTGGGATTCACAACCCCCATGTTCTTCCTGCAGCCACGGTGCCCCTGCTGGCTGGAGCTGTGGCTGTGTTGGCTGTGCTGAGCCTAGGGCTGGGCCTGCTGGCCTGGAGGCCCAGCTGCCTGAGGGCCCTGGGAGGGGCTGTATGAGGGGGAATGGATAGACACAAAAGCACCCCTTCAGCTGACACTGGACCCCAACACGTGTGCTCACCTGCTTCTCTGACTTGTCACTTACTGTGCTCGCGCGTGTGGGGATGAAGGCTGGGTGGGCCCCAGGCCCTGTGCAGGCAGTAAGCATGGGTGCGGGCGAGAGCCTACAGCCCGAGACCACATAGGACTGGAATGCCCTTAAGCACCTCTACTCCCAGCAATTACTGCTAGTGGCAGAACAGATGGGGCTGTCTCAGGGTCACCTAGTACCCCAATTATGAATCAGATGGAGACAGGGGTTTCCCAGGGTATTGGCTAAGGTAACCAGTGTCTTCTGAAAGCCTCACTCATCTCTAACCTAAGTTCCTCAAGGACCTGTTGATGAGCCTGCACCCATCCCCCACTCCCTACAGCCTAGCAATCACACCATTGGCATCACCTGGAGCCCCACACCCTTGTCTTGTATAGCCACTGCCACAACTGACATGGGAAAATCAAAGGGTGTTGTCTTGAGAGGAGGCCAGGCTTCTATCTGGGGGAGGTACAAGACCCCAAGTCCTGAGGAAGCTAAGAAGCATCCCCTGGAATCCCAGGGCAGCCTGAGTGAGCTAGAGGGTCTGGTTCACAAGAACAAACAAACCAAACGCAGGCTGCTAGGGAGGGAGAGGTAGGGAGGGCTAAGGTCAGCCGGTGGCTGTGACTGGCCCCCACCAGCCCACCTTTCCTCAGCAGACCGCTGGAGCATCCTCTGGAAACAGGCCAGAGGTGGGCAAGCAAGCCTGTGCCTCACCTGCCCCGGACCCAGGCCATCACCCCGATCCTACCCGCGCCGGGACCAAGTCAAACAGCACACCCCACAGAGGGCCATGAACCAGCCATTTAATAGGAACTCACGAAGGCAGAAGCTCCAGGGCTGCCTACCTCGCTCCTCCACTAAATCCAGACCTACATTGGCCAGGGGCCATGTGTGCAGCCAGGGACACCGGACCCAGTTGGAACGTGCTTCAAAAGGGAAAGGCATGGCTAAAAGAAAACGGGGACAGGGTCCCCAAAGCAAAGTCTTTACAAAAGGGGGCTCTCCTCTCTCCAAATCCAAAGTGTCACATAAGCTCAAAATAAAATATAAAGTAAAAATGCTGCATTAGAAAAGTTTACAATGTTGAGCCTTTAAAATAGGGAGACTGGCCCTAAAGTGTCAACCACCCAGTAAAGTCCATCAAGTGTGGCCTCTACCTAAAATATTATGTAAGTGTTGCATTGAAAAAGTAAAAAATTCAAGATGGCCTGTATGTAGTGCTTTGGGGCTCACGTGGAGGCAGAGGGGTGGGGACCCTGAAGTGGCCACCCACCTCAGCATGACCTTAGGCTCCAACCCAAGGGGTTTAACTTCAGGGCCATAAGCACCCTAGATTTGCAGCAAATGGCCACCGGTGGCTCACTTCCCACATGGACTGTGTGGCTGGGGACATGCACACCCCTCTTTGGGGACCACTGAACTTGGCACTAAGTGCTGGAGGGACAGACGTGGGGAAGGTACGCCAAGCTGTTTCTTTCCTAGTGGCCTAGGTTGCAAGCTGCCTCCGTGAGATTAACCTTCCCACCTTCAACCCTAGGGTGCAAGTGTGCTCTCGAACAGTCCAGGTCTAGTCGTGCCTCACAGGTGGCTCCTCCCCACAGGCCTGGTCGGAGTAGGGAGGTGGTGGGGGCTGTTCCTCAGCCAGCCCATAGCTGGGGTGGCCACGACTGCGCTTGGCTTCTTTGATGTACAGTTCCAGGAGTACCTTAGTAGGCTGCCTGTCCACTTGCTCCCGGGGCACGCCGTGGCTGAGCAGCCAGCTTAGGAGGTCCTTTCGAGTTGGGTTGGGCCCCAGCATGAGCTTGGTGCGGCCTGGCTGGCTCTGACGCCAAAGCAGGCCCACGTCAGCAATGGTCTGGATCTCCATGACAGCCTCTAGTACCGTCATGCCACGCACCAGCAGACTGACCAGTGAGAGCCGCAGCTCAGAGGGTGCTGCTGTGAGCAGGCGCCGCTGCAGGCTCTGAGTGAAGGCCACATCTTCTGGGGCCAGGTCCACAGGCCCTTCTGGGTCAAGGTAGATCCACTCAATCATACCCAGCTCACGCACCAGCTGGATGCCTTCCTCCATGGTGGTCCAAGGCCTAAAGGGCAGCTCAGTGGCCTCAAAATGCAGGGAGGATTCCCAGCGCTGGCGCCAGGCCTGCAGCAGCCAGCTCAGCAGCGTCTGGCAGCCACTCCCTCGCAGGGCCTTGCAGCGGTAGTTAAAGATGGCATCATGCGTGAGGTCACCCAGCAACCCCAGCTCCCCGGAATTCAAGGACAGGGCAGGACCTCCCTGGTCATACACCCGCAGGATCCAGGTGATCATGAGCTCATTGGGGTTTTGCTTGAAACGCCGTGAGATAGCCAACAGCTCCGTGTATGTGTAGTAGCGGTCCCCCCGACCTATCTGGGTGGGTACGAGCACTCTCTCCGCCATGGCCCTACAGCCTCAAGGCTAGGACAGCAAGGGGCTAGAAGCAATGTTGCTGCGGAGCTGCAAAAAGACACAGGGCATGGTAGTGGTGACGAAGGGTCACGTTCCCACCTAGCATCCCCCTGAAACAGAAACCCCTCAGACCCCCAGATGTCAAAGGTCCCGGAGGCTTGCACCATGTCATCAGGGTGGTCAGAGCCCAGTGCTGTACATCATGGGGGTTACCAAGAGCAGTATGACAGGATGCCTCATAGCAACCTAGTCAGGCTTCTTTACCCATTCCTATTGTCTGAATGGAGCTCATGTGATTAGCATTAAGACCCCTACCCCAATTCCAGACAGCCCTGCTATTCTTACCCGGGGAAGCAGGCTGTCTGCAGGAACCACCTGTAGGCAGGAAGGAGAAGGGAAAGAAGTTGGTAAGGTGCAGAAAGACCATGATACCTCCCCCCCATTCACTCCTCCTTGGAGTCAGGACCCCTCAGACCCACAGGTGTCAAAGGTCCTGGGGAGCTCCATGTCCTCAGGGTGATCAGAGCCCAGTGCTGGACATCACAGGGGTTCCTGAGCATAGACACCAACAGCATTTCTTACAGCACAATGTCTCCAGTGCTAAGAAAGCACGAGCGGAGTCTGACCTGAGCTGTTGGTACCTGCTGTCCTAAGACCTTTACCCTGCCTCAGACAACCCTTCTGCTTACCTGAAGGGAAGCCTGGCTATCTGGAGGAGCTGCCCGTCTGCTGGCAGGGGGGAAAGAGGCTGGTGAGAAGCATGGAAGCACAGCTTCCCTATCCACTCCCTTTGCAGCCAGGACCCCTCAAGATCCCTGGGGGCACCATGTCCTCAGGGTGGTCAGAGCCCAGTGCTGGACATCACAGGGGTCCCGGTAATATGCACACTCCCTCTCTGATATCCCAAGGACAGTATAGCCTCTACCTCCCAAAGCAGAAGGTTACAGATACACACTACCATAGTCCATCTTACTTATCTTAATTATCAAACCCAGACTGGATTTGAACTCGGGATCCTCCTGCCCCAGCCACATGGAACGCTGAGATTATAAGCAGGTATCCCTCACTGTCCACCCTGACCCTACTTGGTGCCTTCCAGCTGCTGTGCTGCAAAAAGACTGACACTGTCCTTGGGAATGTGGGACAGAGGAGAGAGGCTGGTCCTGGTCTCATGGCTGTTTCAGGCCTGTTTGAATTTCCCAGGATGTGGTGAACGTGTGCCTCAAAGGCTCCTGCTTTTCCTGTAGGCCCACTTCCCCCAAACCAACTCTTCACCCTGCCTGATCTTGAGGTCAGCATCACTGTTCCATACTGCAACTTGGGGAAGCAATGACTTCACTGCCAGAGTATTCTGTGGAGGAAAAATGCCACCTGCGTATTGCTAGGATCCTGGTGGGATTTAGGTTTCCTCAAATACTGTGGCCTTCTCCTCCACCCAACAGCCCAGGCTGGCTGTAAACTCGTGGTCATCCTGCTCTGCTGGGCCTCAAGAACTCAGTTTTAGTCCGAGTCTAAATTTTGTGTAGAAATGTGCTGTCGAAAGATGTAGCCACATAATTAAGAATGAAAAACCCAGCCCCAGCAACTCCTATTTGAGATGCTTCTAAGCCCCATATGGTTGTGGGGTGGACAATGGCACATCTGTCTTGCTGGCTCCATTCTGACTTAGTGGAACATGAAACAAGAAGAAATTCTCCTGGAGCCGAGAACTTGTTCTTTTTCAGATTAACACACATTCCTGTCTTCTGATTATTATTTTAATAATGACTCCTATGTAAATTCAAGGTTCTTTTTCTAAAAAGCATAATCTTTTTTATATACACATGATTTGCTAGGACTTACAGGATGCTCAAAAGTACACTGTATCCAGTCCAAAATCCAGTGGACAGATGATAATGCTGACAGCCATTTTGCTCCCTCTACCGAGTTTGAAAATTGGGTCCTTTCTGCACCTTACCCAGCCTTTGATGTGTCTGCTCCACCTAAAACACCCAAGTTTATGTGAGATGGCTCACTGACCGGTAGACCAGTATGGAGTTACGAACAGCAGGGCTGGGATCTTTACTAACTAGCTGACGGGTCTCCTGAGAGTTTTAATATGTAACATTCCCATAATTACTGATCCAAATTACGGAAAGTGACCTAAGAGAAAAGGTATACTCTTTTATGTGTGGACAGACCAAAAAGTGAAGGTTCTCACCACGAGATGACGGTGGATGGTTACTCGGCTTCAAGATACACCTGTAATACAGGAAAGACTTGGTGAGGGTATATGTGTTGGGACAGGCCACAGGTGTAGAACATCAAAACCAGAGCCCCTCAGACCCTCCAGGTGTCAAAGATCCTGGAGGGGCACTGTGTCCTCAAGGATGATCGGAGCCCAGTGCTAAACATCATGGGAGCCTCAGACCTTCTGTAATGTCAAGGCTACTTGCCTTCAGGGATGGTGGCCAAGCTATAAACACAAAATCCACTAGTTGCTCCAACTTTCCCAGTGACAGAGGTCCATAGATTCCCTATGGACCCACACCATGAAGAGGACTCTGATGCTTCTGTCTTGACTGTATCTGCTAGCAACATTGAAAACCAAAACCTGTAAAGACACAAATCCCTCCAAAGTACCTGGGAGGAGAAATGACTGTTCTGTGGAGGAGAAAACAACAACAACAACAACAAAACCCAACCACACACACACAAAACCAACACAAAACACTTTAAAGATATAAATGATATAAACAAGGACTTTACTCAGCCAGATTCGAACCACCCTAAGAAAGGCATGTGGCAGATGCCGTCACAATGAACACAAAGACAACAGCAGGATCCCAGGAAGAAAGAGTCTAATCAAGTGTGATAATGGCACTGACCAGGCAGAAAAAGGCTGTTTGAGAGGTGAACATGTGGTTAAAATATTTTGGGTGAAATATATAGTTTACTTTCGAAATTCGAGTAGCTGGGATGACATGCTTGCACCATCAGGACCAACACAGTATTAGTATTCTTGCAGGTGAAAAAGGCCTGACTTCCTTTCTCCTGGCTACTCCTACCTGCTGCTCCGAAGCAATCCAGGCCTCCACGTGCACTCACTTCCGCCTCGGTAACTCCGTATCTTGTATCCGCCCCTACACCCCATCCTCCTCCAGCCCTTACGTGTTCTAGGTTGCACAAAAATGTCAAAATCCCTCACGGGGGAGGGGCAGTGGTAGAGATTTCCCACGGAGAGAACCTGCAGGTAGCACGGGGCTGTCACTGGGAGGAAAATTCTATGTTACACACACACCCTCCCTGTCACCTAAAACGGGTAAGATGGCGGACAAGACCCGCGACGTGAGCAGCAGAAATGGCGTAGCCCGGCTAAGGCGCAGACAAAGGAAGGCCGGCCCCGGCAGCCCCAGTTCCACACACCTGGCGGAAGGCACCGTCCCCGAAAGTGTCCGCATCCCGACACCCCGGCCCCAACCCGAGCGCCCCCGCGGCCCCAAGCAGCACCCTTGAGCCCGTCCACGCGACAGGCACGCCCACGACCGGGCCATGGAGACCTCAGGCCACGCGCTTCCCAGTGCAGCGCGCAAAGCTGCACCGCAGACCGCACGGCGCCGAGGCCAACCTCTGGAAGACTCACCGAAACGGAGGTCACGTCCCACGCGCTTCCCGCAAGCGCGCGCCGGGGCCGCGAGTCCCACTTTATAGCGCGCGCCGCCTGTCAGTCCCGCCCACCGCGCCCGCTGGGCCCCGTCCCTAGCGTCTCAGGCTCCGCCCCGAGGGAGCCCTCAATGGAGTCTTTGCTGGGCTCACGCGTGGCTGGTGGAAGAAACACCGTGCGTCCGTGGCCGCTGGAGCATCACTGATTAGGACATAAGATGTTGGAGGACACATCTGGACAGCTCTTCCGTCACTCTCGACAGGCAGTTCTGAGGCCGCCCCCGAAGAGGGCGGGACGAGAAAGGCCCCCTAGAGGTAGGCGGGGCCAGGCGCGGAAGCCACGGGCTCGCCAGCGCGGCGGAGGGCGGGGGAAAGGGCGGCCCTGGAGTGGTCGCCGCCGCAGCGCGGGAGGCGGGACCAGGCACAGGCTGACGGCTTTGTAGGGAAGCGTGGGCGAGGTGCAGTTGGAGGCGTTGGCATCTGTGCTCTGTGATGGGCGGGAACAGGGACGCTAGGACGAAGTGGCGGGCGTTCTCTGTGCCTGAAACAGCGTGGCTGGGACTGGGCTGCTAGGTCTGAGGGAGGAGGGCTGAGTCCTGGGAGGTGCAAAATGTGAGAGAGGTGATGCCAAGTGGCAGGACAGGCCAAGCTTTTCTAATTAATAATGTCTCTTTGTCATTATTTGGGAGCTGAATGGCGGGATATAGAAAGACTCATTACACTGCTTCCCCAATAACCGTTGCTCATCTGTCGTCGTAGCAAAGAATTCTCAAATTGCCTCAACTCCAGATAATCTGCCTGTGCGCGGATTATCTTGGTTAGGTTAATTGATGGGGGACCATGGGCTGTATAAACGAAGAGAGCTGTGCACAAGTGTTCGCATCCCTCTGCTTCCTGATCAGCTGCCTCCCCAAGCTCCTGCCTGCCTCCTTGGCCCACCCCTACACCATGTGATGGACTGTACTTTAACTGTGAACCCTTCCATTACGTTGCTTTTATCAGGGTGTTCTATCATAGCAACAGAAAAATAAGACCTTTCTTTTTCCTCATAGCATGGATCCCCTCTCCTCCCATCTGTTTCCTCTGCACAGGATTGGACTGTGTTTATTTGACCACTTTTATAGATCTAGTGTAAGGCACGTAGTTGCAGCTCATCTTTATTTAAAAATGGGCACCTTTGCTGGGGATGTGGCTCAGATGGTAGAGCGCCTGCTCAGCTTTGTAAGAAGTGTTGGTTTCTACCCCAGCAGTATATAAACCAGGCATGATTGTGCCCACCTGTAATGCCAGCCTGAGATTCAGAACTTAGGTTCTGAATTCAAACCAGCCTGGAATACATGAGGAAGTATCTACATTATTTTGAAACTAAAATATATTTATTTTAGATTTATATGTGTGTCTGTGTAACACAAGTGTGCCTAGTGCCCTCAGAGGTCAGAAGAGTCTAGACACTAGAGTTAAGGGTGGTTGTGAGCTGCCACGTGAGTTGTGGGAATCAAGTCCTGGTCCTCTGCAAAAGCACGTGCTCTTCACAGCTTAGTCATCTGTCCAGCTCTTTGTCACTTTTGATAACTCAATTGTGCAGTTCTTTTTTTTAAACATATTTTTATTTTTTGTGTGTGTGTCCATATGTTGGGGGGCTTATGTGTATATACGGGTTCAGTGCCTGCAGAGGCCAAAAGAGGCAACAGATTCCCCTAGAACTGGATTACAGGCTGTTGTGAGTTACCCAACATGGATGCTGGTAACTGAACTTCTGGGAAAGCAAGCAAACACTTAACTACTAAGCCATCTCTCCAACCCTTTGCTTGTGCAGTTCTTGGATGTTAACTTGGTAGATAATATCCTGTGGTGATGTCCGAAGGTTGGACCTGTGTGGTAGATCGTTGCCTCTACTCTTCATACAAGGAAACTGAGTCCCAAGTCAACCTTGCTGTGAGTCAGAGCTAGTAAGTGACGGTGTCTAGACCTATGAGAATAAGAAAGGGGGAGCCTCGTTCTCCTCTACAGGAGGCAGGTGGTGGGTTTTTTACTCGATATCAACCCTTCCTTGTTCAGCAGATGACTTTTGGCTCCACACCTCCCTCCCAAAACCCTCCCCTGAGAAGCTTGTGTTGAGGGCATTGGGGAGAAGAGTAGGGTAGGGGAGAAACTGCAGGAAGGGATGGGATGTGAGCTGAGGACTTGAATAGGGTTTTCTCGGAAAAGAAACTACAAGTTGGAGCTATGCA